AAAAATAGATTTTTAAACTATAATATATAATACTTATACATATTGTAATATAACAATACAGAGTCTTAGTAAAGCTATACTACTTGATTTAATATATAAGAGGGTTAAAAAATGTGTTTGTAAACAAGAAAAAAATAAAATAAGAAAGAAAACTAAAAGAGACTTTAAAATAAAATAATAAACTAAAAATAAAGAAAAGAGATGATGGCTCTAATCCTAAAATATAATAAAATACTCAAGAAAAGGGAAAAGAGGTGATGGCTCAACTCAATATACTAAAAATAAATACTCAAAAAAGAAAGAAGAGGTGATGGCTAGGATCCCGAAATATATATAGATAGGTAAGATTAATTATAGTATTACTAAAAAAGAAAAGATCTGCAAGAAAACTTCAAAAATAAGTAAAAAAATTATTATAAATAGAAAAGATCTGTATAAAAAATCTCAAAAATAAGCAAACTCATACCTGACTAGGGTTAGAGACACAGAAAATTTTTTGGGCATGCCCAAGGGGCATGCCTTCAATTTTTTTGTTTTAAGAGCATGCTCTATAGGCATAGCTTTAAAATTTTTTGTATGTCAATTTTTTATATATAAATTTTTTAAAAAAAAAGCATGCCCCTAGGCATACCCAGGGGGACATACCTCTGAGGCATGCTCTGGGCTACTGTGCCTACAACCCTATACCTGACCTATCTATGTATATTTTGAGATCCTGATGGCTCAACTTTAAATACACAATAAAAACATAATAAAAGCTTTATAAAAAGAAAGTAGGCGATAACTACACTTTCAAGAAATTAAGTTGTAAATAACAAGAAATTAAAAGTAGAGAGAAGACAGTCTATTTATTAAAAATAATCTATAAATAATAAGAAACTAAAAGTGGATAAGGGAAGTTTGCTCTGCCTTAGAGAAAAAAGCACGATTTTTATATTTTTTGGACTATTAATAAATGACCTAGTTAATAACTTAGTTAATGACCCAGTTAATGACCCAGTTAATAACCTAGTTATTGACCTAATTAATGATCCTTTTAACAACCCAGTTAATTACCCTTTTAACAACCCAGTTAACATATCTGTTAATATACTTATTAACGCACCAGTTAACATACCTGCTAATATACCTAATATTATACTAAAATTAATACTATTTATTGAAAATTTTACTATTAAACTTAAAGTTAAAAATAAATATATAATAAATATAAATTATACTAATAAAATATACTAATAAAATCTTCTAAAATATGCTAATAAAATCTACAAATATAACAATATAAAGCATAAAAAGCTTTATATTATTGCAAGAATATTTAATATTAATCTAAGGAAAAAAAGACAAAAGTGTAAAAACTAAACCAACTCCAAAAACTTTTAAAATTTTTACAAATCTTATCTCTTTTGCTAAAAGAGTTGATTCTAACTGATTATTAATTGATTCTGATACTATAAACTCTCTATTTTTTGTATATATAGTATTAATCAAGGTCAAGTATTATGAAAAAACAAAAAACTTCAACCAAAAAGCATAATTGTAAACCAATTATTGTTCAACAAAACATTCTAAAATCAATTTTTATTTTTGGTAAAATTTCTAACTGTATTATATAGAGGTAAATTAATAAAAATTAAGCAAATTTTTTATAATTTTTACTAACTTGTATAATTAATTTAAAAAAAATTTATGAATTTAATAAAGGTTTTGTTAAGTTATCCTTGTTAAAATTTTAAAAAAAAAGCATTAAAAAAAAATTTGCATAGTTTTTATTAACTCAACCCCATATATCTTCGATCTGAGCCAATCAATTAATTTATATTACTTGACAAACCTGATATCTTATAGGTATCTGATCATTTAAGCATCAGAAATAGCAGGTTGAATTATAGAACAAACATGATAAAACAATTTTTTATCGAGTATAACAGGTTATCAGTTTTGACAAGATCGGTTTTGGGAGGGTAGACTGTAGTAAACTAGCATATATATATTAACAGGCGTGACATATTCTCTGGAGATCATCGATTTCGGCCAATCAGAAACGTGATTCACTGATGGCCAATAGAAACTCGAGAGAAATTAGTAAACGCGTTCGTGTTCACAAAATTTTGAAATTTATTAACCAATCACGAAGATCACCTATGCTCCAAGATTTTCAATGACTCTGCTTATACCATGCCTACGGATTTTGAAAAGGATGTGAGTTTTCAATAATTAAATATTTCTTGTCTCGAAAATTTCTAATCTATAATCATAGTTTAAGGATTGGGAACCAGTTTTAGATCCCGCTCAGGCTTCCCTTGAAATACTTACCCTTGAAAACAGACTTTTGACAATTGAGTTAAAGCGTTTGCAACAAGAAATAAAAAATTTGACTGAAGAAAATTCCGATTTAGAAGAAGAATTCGATAAACTCAAAGTGTTGTATGAGATTGCCTGTGAAAAATTTTCTCTGCTAAAACGGCAAAAAGACTGTTTCGCTAAGAAATACATGGAATCTCAGCAAATAAACTCACTATTATCAAGCGAGAATGAGACATTGACGAAAAAGATCGATGAGTTGACTAAAATAGTTGGTAAACTGATTATTATTGGATTGTTGTCATTTATGGGTTGATTTTTGATTTTATACTATTTCAGAAAAAATAAAGTCAGAATGTGATGTAATTGCAACTGCACGAAATGAATTGCAAGGAACATTAAGTGAGTTTTAAAGAAAAATATCACTGCGCGTTGACAAATCTAAAACTAATTTTGGTAATTAATAATTCAGATTACATAACAAATGATAATGACAAATTAAGAAAGGAAAATAACGAGTTGCATGTTAAAATTGGTATGTCACTATAGTAAATTTGACAAACCAATAATTTAACTTTTTATATTAATTTACTCTATTTTGATTTAGCTCTTTTGCAAAATAGTTGCGCAGAATTCAATGATGATAGTCCGCTTCCGGAGCAGGCGAATGATCATGAGGTTACCGAGATTGATGACATAAAAAATGTCGATACGGAAAGCTCTCCAAATCAGTCGAAAAGACGCGTTACTTTTGCAGAAACAGAAGCAAACAAAAAGAGGCTACGTGCTGGTAAAGAAACTCCTAAGGTGGGTCATAAATTACGTTCTAATGGTAGATCTAGAACGACAATTCCCAAAATGCCGGACACGACCGAACTTCCAACGGTAATAACACTTCCTTTAGAACCAGTGACAACAAACCCTGTACTAGGTTATGATAAAATGAAATCTAGATTCAATATTCCTAAAAAAGAGTGAATTCTAAATGATTATTATTGTTAAACTATGTAAGAGGAAAGATTTAACGTTATTTCCAGATAACGCATAAATTGTTAAAATAAGTCTTATTTAAGTACTGCTGTGTGCGGTGTTATTTCAAAATTAATGACTAGAGTTCGATAATAAAAAAAATTCTATTTGATGAAATTAAAGTAGTTCATTAAATAAAAAACCATTTTAGGGAGCTGACGGATAAGAATAGGTTTTTTAGAGTTTTATTTGATGGCATGGATTTAGGCGTACTATTTTCAGTACATTGTTCTAAATTAACCCACTTTTTAAATACAATTATTTAGTAATTTAAATGAAGGGTTAGATGGGGCCGTTGCAGTAGAAAGGGCCCAAACTCCCCCGGAAATCAAAATTGAGTTTTTGTAAGGTTCGAATATATATTTTTCAATTATAAATGGAAATTGATTTGCTTAATAAAAAATTGGAATACAGTCAACACCCTCTAAGTACACATCCTCTAAGTGCAATTTCTCTTTAAAATGCAATTAAATTAATATAAATGCAAGTTCTTTATTTTGTAAGTGCAAGATTTTTTTTAGCTAGCATATATAAATTATTTTTTCTAATTGCAAGATATTTTATTAACCAATTAAATTGACTTATTTAATTAAAGGTTTTTTTTTAGATGCAAGATATTTTTTTTAGAGAATTGCTATTTCCACCCCCCATTTTTGCTAATGCCACCTCCTAAAATTTAAAAAAGTGCACTGAAATAGATATTCTTATTAAGTAAACCTTTCTTGTGATTTTAATAAAAGTTGTTTATCAGGCCTTTCTGGTTTTAATGGTAGTAAAACCATTTATTATACTCAGTTCAGTAGTTTCTAAGATATTTATATCCAAAGTTAGTTAACTTTCATTTACTTTTAGATAAAAACTATTAGTTTTACTTTAATGATTTTATGACTATTAGAACCAAAAAGGCCTGATAAACAACTTTTATTAAGACCAAAAGAAGGTTTTCTTAATAACAATATTTTTTTTGAAGTATTTTTTTAAAATTTAGAGGGTGGTATTAGCAAAAATGGGGGTGGAAATAGCAATTCCTTTTTTTAATTATATATTAATTTATTGCTGTTTTCAAAATGGTTGAAAATAGCAAATAAAATTTTTTAATATATACTCATATACTTGATTACTTTAGTACATTAATTGTAATTGTTTCTAATTCAAAAACAATTACATAAAACCAGCATGGTAGACAAGTGTAGTAGTATAAACTTTCTAAACTTGAAATTTGTGACTCAGAACTAATCTGTTCAATAAAAGTACAGGGATGATCAATCACATAAAATTAAACAATTGGTCATGTCTATGCATGTTGTTATAGAATGAGTTGTAGTATTAGTTTTATTATTAAGTTTATTATTAGTTATTATTAGTTATATTATTATTATTATTATATTATTATATTATTATCACAGGTCGAAATCAAAAATATTATCATCATATCATCTAATATCGCCTATGGTGATAGCAGGCCGATAGGCTGTTGGCTATAAACTGATTGATTAGATATAAAAAAAGCCGATAGGCTGAAAATTTTAGTAAAATATGTTACATATTGGTTTAATGCCAGAAATAAATATCCATTTATTGTAAAGAAGATTAGTTAATCTTTAAAAAGATATAAAGATATTTATAAAATATTTGAATAATGATTTAATGATTTGATTAATCATAGGTCGATATTAACATGGCTATTTAACAAAGATTTTTGATCATTTTATATGATATGCTACTGATATTTTAATGATTGTTGAATGTTTTAGAGGACTAAAATATTATTATAATATCATCTATAAAAATTTGATAATATTATAGTTATAAATTGTTTTTAAGCAATTTAATTACAATTATTTAAAGATAATTATCAATTAAAAATATCATAGACCGATATTTTTTGTTTTTTTTAATAAAATCAATTAGACAATATTTTTTAAATAAAGTAGTTTATTTATTAATAACTAATGATATATTTATTTTCTTCATATCTGCTTTACTATAGGATGATATTTTAGTTATTTTAACTGTTTCTATTATGAT